TAGTGACTCAATTAATTGCGTCAAATAATTGCGTCAATTGCGTCAAGGATCTACCTATTTCTACCACATGTATAGTACAAATAACTAAAACCATTAGTCACACAACTATCAACAAAGTATTACATGTCCATTGAAGGTGAGAATCCAGTCAAAGGCTTAAGAGGTTGCTTGCATTACAGGATGTTCTATTCTAAGGGGTATATTTGTAGCAGTTGACTAGGTGACTCCATAAATTGTAACCCTCCACATGTGATACTTGATTAGACTAGGCAGAGTGAGGCCAGGTTCAACTCCTGGGTGAATTTGATATACCGGTGTATCCTTATCCTCCAATGATGTCTCGCTGAAAAAATTCACTAAGCAATTGGCCAAGCTGATGGAGGTGGCAAATCATACTTAGATGGCTTAGGCCTGTGAGTAGGTTCTAGCCTCAATGTGGCAATAAAAGCAGAGTCAAAAATGGTATTAAGTGTAACCCGATAAGGAGGCAGCTTAGCTATGACCTGTGCTACAAGGTATCGGAGCGAGGTTTTACTGAAGCAAAAAGAAAAAAAAAAAAAAAATACTTATAAAAGATTATAGTATTAGATATTATATTAATTTAATTTAATTGTTTTTACTTGAAATTTAATTTAATATCTTATAATATAAATTTAAAAATATTAATTATTGTACTATTGATTCATAGATTATATATAGTATCTTGTTTTAATATAATTTAATATTTTGTTTTAATATATTAAATACTTGAAAAATATATCAAAAGCTAAGTTGATATTTCAAAAAAAAAAAACAAACCAAGACTATCTTATTTTAATTTGACAAGATTTTATAAAGTTTTATTTATTTATTCTAAAAATAGTTAAAGTAAAAAATTTTAGAATAATAATCAATTAAATAAAATAATAATTTTAGAAGATTATAATTTAGAAAATAAATTATTAATAAAAAATTTATATTCTTTCTAATCAAAAGTTTTTATATATAAAATTTCAAAAAATATTTTTCTGAAAATACTCTTAAACATTTTGATTAATGGAAATATTGAAAAAAATAAATTATATAGTTAGTTAACTATAGGTAATAAGAAACAGTTTAAAGATATTAACTATTAGATTAATTTCTTTAAATAATTTCTTTTTGATTATATTTAATTTAAAATTTTGTTTTTTTTTCAATTTCCCAAACATATACAGTAAAAATATATAATTTCTTAAATAATGTAAAACTTAATTCTTTTCCTTGGATAAACAAATTTTTCTTTCTCTTTATTTCTAAATATTTTAATTGTGTTATAAACAAGGATGCTAGGCTTGATAGGCTTGTACAAAAGACTCTAATATTTCTTTAGTCTTTTATTTTTCCAATATTTGACAAATATGTGATACTAGCACAGTAAGGTAAGGGAACAACCACCCTGTTACTTATTTTTGATAATAAAACTCTGCTTTTAATTTATATAATTAATCTCTAATATTTAATGCACTAATAATACAATTATATACATAACATCTTAGTGATGTATAAAATTCTCGAGTATTTCAAAATAGATTTTAAAAATAAACTATTACGTATATACTGTACATAGACCATTCAAAATTTTGAAAGAAAAAAGTTAATATTAAAATACAACCCTTAACTTTTTTCGTAAAATTACTGTATGTTATTAATTTTATATATAAATTATTAAACCCACTTCCCCAGTTCATGATACACATGATTCTTTTTGTCTTGTCTGCTCTATGGATTTCCTTCGGTTTACATTATTTCTATGCAAAACCAAAACCTCTACCATTTTGGATCGCTACTAATAGTCGATCACTAAGTTTCGCCTTTGTGCTATAATCGGGAAGCAAAAGGACTCCAAAACATGTTCGTGCCGTTGGTAGTCTACATTTGATCAACTAGTTTAGTATGTTTTAATCAAAATAAAACCAAAATTCACAATATTACCTATCGGAGTCGGGACCATTTCTTTGAATGGTAAAGGACATATCACTATATCCTCTGATTGGAACACGATCACTAGCAGTAACAAATGCTAAGATTTGCTTTTTTTGTTGGTGAGAGAAATCATGAACGACTGACCAAAAATTTCTATATAAAATTCACCAATATTATTTAATGTAAAAAAAAAAACCGTTAATAGGATTTAGATCATATGTTGCTCACCTTATTGTAGGATGATTTCTCTCAAAACCACCTTCATATCTCACAGTTTTCTCTAATTCTTTGAAGTCAAGAACTCTATTTCCACAAATAAGTAACTCCAATTCCTCAGCACGACACAACTAATAATAAACAATTTTTAGCAAAAATGAACAATGAGCCTTAATGTACCTAATCAACATAATAATTAAATATATTTGTTGGTAATTTCGGTAAACCTTAGGAATTATTCCGTCGCACATCCTTAGAAATCCTCTTTGCAATGCATTGAATTGTTTTTCAATATATTTATTGGCAAAATGGTCGATGTATTTTTCTACGTACTCTTTTCTATTTTCGTTGGTCACGCGTATATCACTTCCTCCATCTATAAGCGGAAATATGCGCTCTTCCCCATATACATTATAGGAAATTTCAAAGTTGCGAAGATACACATCATAAACGTCCCCATCGTCCCAATTAAGCATTTGCTCTAAACCTTTACCTAAATACTTTTTTTAAAAAAAAAAGAAAAAAAAAAAGCTTATTATGTCTCATTTAACATAAAGTTACTTAAAAAAAGAAAATTACCGGAAAACCTTCTTTCATATCCTCCAAATTGACCGGATAATTTAAAAGCTTTTTATATAAAATTCTTGGCAAATTTATATCCACCAGAATTCCATTAAATAATGCCACACCCAAGGTGATACCCACAAGTTCAAACTTTCGCTCGTTTTCCAAAGAAGCTCCGTTAATCCAATGAAGTCGTGTTTGTTCATCATACAAAAACATACCAGTGTCAGGATCCAACAACTTCTCCAAGAGGACTTGAAAAAATTCTCTTTGAATTCCTCCTTGATCCTGAGCTTCTTCTTCACCACTGATGAATTTAACCCTCAATGGCTTTTTTAGATCAAGTTGCTTTACTATTAATTGATCAAGCGCGTCTTTTACCAAATGTTCGCGACGTACTTCAAAATAGAGACCAGGGATTGTCCTTTCGTGAAGAGTACGAAAAATCTGATTATTATCAGTAAGATATCGTTGTGACTGTACATAAAATGTGTGATGCACACATGAGTCCTTTAGACAAGAAAAGTATATGAGTAATTAGCAATTGATTTGTTTCAAGGTAAAAAAAAAAAAGGTAAAAGTTGTGCATAAAACCTCATAATTAAGTGCCATTTGACACAAGGCATCAATTCTGCTGAGATGGGATTTGACGACTGGATCAAACAACATTGGATAGTTCAGAAAAGAAAAAGGTTTATTACGGGTCAAACGAGAGCTACTTTTGACGAAGAAATGTTTAAATTAATGTTAATTCACTAATTATTAATTTTCTCAAGTCACGAATCATACTCTATCCAATACCCACGTGGGATCAAACGCCTTTCGCCAACTCTTGTATGCCTCTTTAAGATTAAGTTTTTCACACATATAAATATTATAAAACATAGTATAAGGAACAATTGCTCTGGGTTCAGCTTTCTCATTGGCTTCATCTATTTTTCAGTGAAACATTATTGAACAATGATTTCATTAAATAAATAAATAAATATATATATTAATAAAAATAACAAACATAGAATAGCCAACGCTTTGACCGTTGCAATCACTTCATGTGAAACCAAGGCAGGAGGCGGATGATAATGATCATCAAGATAACGATGAAGCATGCGGATAATATTCTCAAAACTTTCGGCATCATATCTAAAGATTTTAAATTAGTAGAATCCAAAGAAAAAATAAGGATGCGAAATTATACACCTACTTAGAAAACCAGTGTACTAGTCGTTTCTTGGGTCTTCCTTGGAAATCAGCGATATATCCAAGTATTCTTACTACTTTCTTAATTAAAGTCACCGAAAAACTTTCATTTCTATTAGAAGTCATTAGCAAAGGACACTCTAGAACGATAAATAACTGTCTCAATGAGCCCTCATCTCTTTCTAGTACATAGGGATCCATTTCTATTCTTGCCAATAGAACTTCAAAAGCATTCGACAATGTTAATTCAAATAAAGCGTGAGGATGAAGATCCATAATTAACTTGTATGAACTCCTTAATGATTCGAAATCAATTTTTGAGGGATGAGAGTATGTTGAAACCGAACTCTGTATAAAACTTCGATCCAAAGCCTCCCGAGATGAAAATACAGTCCTTATGGTGTTGAGGAGAAGTTTGGGATCCCCTATAATGCTGCTGGATTTAAATGATGGTTTTTGATTTTCGGCTACAGGATTTCCGTATACAAAATGCCCCTTTTTTTTAATTTTTGGATCGATATCATTGTTTTTATCATTGATCAAACCACCCTGATATGCAGTAAAAGCTTGTTGTAAGAGAGGTAACGTTAACGTGTTTAGACTAAATTGCGTTTCAACATCACTATTGGAGAACGGTGATGACAATAAGTCTTTATATATTTAAAATTGGAAATTATTTTAGTACTTCCAACGAGATCAACTACTTTTTAAATTAAGTCAAAGTTACGTAACCTGAATGTGACAAGCCAGCCTTGCTCACATCTCTCGTTGATAAATGATCAACGGTGTCGTTCTTATTTTTCTCTTCAGAAACACTTGTTGTAGCTGATTTTATAATATAGAGTCAAAACAAGTAATTCAATTCAATGATATAATAAATTTTCATAAATACCTTCTGACATATGAAAAATAGTCGATGAAGATTCGAATCCATTATTTACTATGTTATTATCTCTATTATTACTTTCGATATGTGTTTCTACATCGTCGATTGCTGCTGCTGCTGCATTACTATCTCCTGTCAAGGTTGACTCTTTAGTTGCTGAAATACCTGATCGCTTGATAGTACGGTGACCACTTTTCCACAATAGATTGTTCTGGGCAACATGCGTAACTGCGGATGTATTATTTTCTGAGTTACTATGTGTTGAGTTATTTGTTTCCTTCGTTTTTCCATCCCCTATGCTATATGAAAATAGGCTTGCAAATGGAGATGCTGCAAAGAAAGAATAAATAAAAGGCTTTACAGGGAAGTCTTGCTGTCGATCTTGGCTGGAATCATTATTTGTGTTGGATAAAGTAAATTTGGACCGTGGAAATGGCGTTGAGTCGATTTGACAATGAGAACAAAAAAAACGCCGAGGACGAGATGCAAGTTGTACTGATAAAATAGCTGCCGCGTCTGGTGATAATCGCGGAGCGCCTATCAGACATTTTACCCAAAATTAAATTTTCCATCTGAAAAAGTATGTCAACAGAAACACAGCATGATAAATGACACAAAGAGAAGCATGTGTACTTTTACAAGAACGACAAACTTTGATCTCACAATCGTCGCGACCGCAGCCTACTGTCAATTGGAAATAATATCTGTATACGTTATTAAAAACTTCTGATCAATATTTTTGAATGGAGCTTAATGATCAGATAACAGAATTTATTTATTACCTTCTTACGGCTTTTTCGAATTTGATTTTTGACTCATCCCGGTTCGCATCCCAGTTCCGAGGTGGAATTTCAACTAGAGAGTTATCAAAACACGAATTCATTTTTTCTTTTGCATTTTGAATTTATAATATTTTATTAAGAGAAATTCACAGCAATATTTTTTGCATCCAAGTCGATAAATAAGCAAATACAAATTATAACTTACATTAACTTGAGAATAAAAGGGACGATCGGTTCTTTTAGTTTGAATATCTTTGTTGTACGACTGTATGTAAACAATACATAATTAAACTATTTTATTTTTTTTTTTTTTTTTTTAATGTTAAGAACTATTTTATTTTTTTAAGTGATGCATCTTTATATTTTGCAATGAGTTTAACATAAACTATTTATTTTACTAATTATATTTTCTGATTATTATTATTAATTTAATATTTTTTTTTTTAACCCATAGTCAAACAAGTGTATACTGTTTATTGAATATTTACAGAAAACAAATAATATATAATACATTGTATTGCATAAATTATTTTATTGTTTTGAATATTTATCTTCAACTACTGTAATATCTTTAGGTATGACTTTTTTTTTTTTTTTTTATAGTGGAATGTGCGCATGATGTGTAATCTTTATTGATATATTATATATCTAGATAGATACCAAGTGTCTCTACAAATTAACTGGAAATCGGTTGATACATAGTATCATTTTTTATGTCTTTACAGCTAATCTGCAGATTAATACTGCCTTAGTGCATATATTACTATATGACTAGTTACACTAACCACTATTTTACCTAACTATATGTTCATTTAAACACTTATAGATATGTCCACATATCAGGTGGGACTTTCCGCAAGGGGGGAAATCCTACCATTAGTTTAAACTCGCCTAAACCTACTGAATCCATTATTGCAGAGAGCAAGTTATTATGGAATATTATTATAGAGACTAACTTCAGTATTCCAGTCACTGTTATCACCAATCCTTGATATGTGCCACTAGCATAACGCAGCACTACCGTTTTCACCACCTGTGGAACTGATGTCCTTGCTTGGATTCTGATTTAATCTTATAAATCCTTACTAGATGCACTTGACTTAACGATTTTTACCTATATTCGTATCACCTGTAGCTAATACCTTGCCCTTCGGTCATATGATTAAGTTTTGTGGAACATCACTATTGGGATAGATCTACAAGCTTCAGATTAGGATAGAGTAGCTTAAAATTAACCTCTTTTTGAATTGTGTAATGGAGTCAGCCATCACCAATTTGGGTTAGAGTTTGTGGACTTTTATCAGAGTTAAACCAAAAGCCTTTTCTTGTGCAACCTTTCGTACTTCAACCTGTTTTCAGCTCATAATCGTTGGGAAGACTAGAGGTCCCATCTTTATGCAAATCTTTAGATATGACTGTGAAGATAAATAAAATTATTCTTTTTAATATTTATTTATTTATAGGTTTGACACCAAAGATTATTGCTTATAGTTTATTATTAAAATTTATTTGTATAAAATCTAGACTACTTTTTATATTTATATTTCTAGTTTTTTTTTTTTTTTTTAATTCATTTTATATTGATATCTTATTTTGAACTTAAAGATCTTTTGTATTATTTTTTTATAAAATTTTGAGGCTTATTTTTTTTGTTTTGAATTTTTTAATTTTAATTTTAATTTTTTTTTAAATGTTAGCTGAATCTTGCTTAACAAATACTTATTAAAATTAATATATATATAGTAGTATGCAAAAAAAATCAGAATCATATATTTATTTATAATTCAATAACTAATTAATTAAATTATATAAAACTTTATAAATAAGTTCTTTAATA